CAGTTCTAGTCCGTCGCTAGGAGTCGGTAGGACTCGATGGCAGGAGGTTGTGTTTTATCCCCCACCAGGTTTCCTCCAGCTCGTGTGGCTGAGCTCGGTCCTCCCACCTTCTGCTAACAGGACAATGAATCTGCCTTGAAACTGCTGCCAGTCAAGTCCCTTTCATACAGGTACCGAGGACATCAGTAAAGAGTGCTCCATAAGTAGAGCTCACGGAAACAGAAATTCTGACGGCTCGCCAAACTCCATTTCAGAAAGAAGCTTCTCGTTGTTGTAAAATGAGATCCTGCTAAGAGGGGAGAGGGTCCTCTGCCCCACTTCTCCCCCCAGCTGGCTGTATACCTCTGCGATGCAAAATAGGCAAAGGTGACAGAATAATATTTGAAGACAGTAAGTTATATTCCCCTCGCCCCTGCCCTTTGCCTGTTTCCTTACAACAACGGGCTGTGCTCCTGGTTGAATAAGGGGCGATACATGGCTGACCACTATAAAACTGCCTGACAGGCAGAATCCAATTCCGCACATTTGCATTGGTGCACATCCAAAAATTGGGAGATTTCACATAAAATCTGCATTTGCACACTCCCCTGGTCCAGAAACAAAACAAAACAAGAAGCCACCTGGGTGTCTGTTTTAAATAAAGCGAGATGATAGCTTGAGCGACCAAGTTTGCACACTTGGCACCAACTCGCTGGCTCTGGGCTGCAGCTGTTGCATAGGACTCCTTAACCAGGATCATGCTAGACAAGGTGACGGAGGAACCCTCACCGGTCAGGGGCAGCACCCTAACCAAGTTGATGTCTCATGCATATGTGGCAGTCCAGTACAAGTGATTCAGAGACCCGGGGGCTTCTTCTATCCTGACCCCCCCATCCCTGGAGGCCTTGAAGTTTTCTGTTTTCAGCCCGTGGAATGGGAAAAAGACAAAAAAGTAGAGAAGCAAGACTCAAGGTTCTCAACTCACTGCCAGGCTGTCTGGGAAATGTGGACTCTGCTTGGGCAGCACGGCTACCTCACTAGCTCGGGTGGCTTGCTGTCAAGTCCATTCTGACCCATGACAATGAAGAGCCATGTTCTGCAGAATCGAACTGCATTTCCCAGGCTGAGTTTTTCAGAAGCAAATCACTAGGCCTGCCTTCTGGTAGTTTTCAGCCTTGGAAACCTCTGGGGCCCCTCTATTCTGTCCTATAGGGTCACTGTGAGTAATAATCTAACACCATCAACCTTTCCTGTTAATAGTCAAGCGCTTCACTGTTTGCACTACCCAGCATGGGACGCTGTAATTCCAGGGAATTGAGGGCCATCTGGGGTTAGGAACGCCAGAAAGGATAAAGGTTAACTCTTCTACTCCCCTACCGGATTAGTTGCATTGTGGTCGTTAGGTGCCTTTGAGGGGGTTCCTTTTATAGGTTCCTGATAGGCACTCACTGTCCCTTCTTGGGATTTCGGCACATTGCTGCTGCCACTGATCAGCTTTTAAAGGTCTGCAATCATTACATATATGATCATTACATAATCCATAGGCGAACAATTCTTTGATGCCCGAGTTTGTGGGGAGGAAGGCTAGTGACCTTGCTCTCTTTAGCTTTCTCTAGAAACTTTGACCTCCAGCTCCCGGACCAAAGCAGTATCCTCCCGTCCCCATCCACCCACAGACTCTGATCAAAGGCAAACAGAAGTTAAAGCCCTTTCAGAGCATGTCTTTTCAAACTGCGGGAGTTTGAAAAGTTACAGAAAGCGCGATATTGTGTATATTCTTGGGGCAGCAATTGCGGGGTAGAATGCGAAATCCACAGGTGTTTTTTTTTTTCTTCCAAAGATGAAATTCCAACTTCAAAGGAACTCCTTATCTTGCTGGGAAAGGCCCCATGTGGGTCTCCATGGAATTCTTATGAGAAGAACATTTGTGTGGGAACGTTTGAACAGCTCTGGCCCCAGGCCCGGGCTGGCTCCGGGCTCCCTTGACTGGCTGGGGCTGCGGCTCCCAGTGGGTATAGCATTCTCCTTAACGTCTCCTCATATTTCTAAACTCACAGCT